ACACTACGATAGCATGCTAAGAAGGTGGGAGAAATATCTTATAATACATAAAGTTATTAATTAGTCCGTTTTCATGGCTAGAAAAGATTGTTTGAAAAATTATTCTTCTCTTCTTATGTTGTTATTCCCTTTGTCATAAGATTTATGTTACTCGGAAATAAAGGAAACAGAATGTTTATGATTTTTCCAATGAAATACTTTTACTTCCCAGTCTTAATTAATTTGTAATTCCCAGTCGTAGATTTCAAAACAATCTTACATTATTTTAAGCAATCATAAAAGTCCTACTAGTACGTGTTCCTTTTATTTTCTATGAATAGCAAAAGTTTATTAGGAATCAAAAAGATCTTATTGCTTAATTCAATGAGTCTGCAACATTAAACTTACTTAATAATTCGTAGAAAAGACTATTTTAAGCTACACAGATACTCCTTAATATCATATACCAAATATACCAAATTTATATATATATATACCAAATTTTAGCAATAATTATTTTCATTTTGCTCAGAAGTGTTGTTGAAATTTAACACATGATTGCTTGTAAACATTCCTTCTATAGACATTTTTTTTAATTGTTGTGTTAGTTATCCTTATTAAGCTCAAAATCTAAATTCCTTATAAATTGATTTAAAAGTAAAATAATATTAGAAATTTTCAGAAATAAACGTTACATTTACTTAAACAGAATTTAATATGTTAATAATTTAAAACCTCCTAATTAAATTTAAAAAAAGTGTTTAATTATTGTTTTTATTAATGATCTACATATATGAATGTTTCATCACACTTTCATATTATTAACAAAGAAACAGCACATTCCCTTAAGAAATGGCTTTCATGGAACCGAAGAGAAAAGAATAAATGTAATACCATTTTTGCAAACATATCATAGAAAATTATTCTCACAATTGTTAAACCTAACAACTTACAGAAGTTTCATAAGTTGTACAGTTAAGTAGAGGCTTAAATTGACTAAAGTTAGGAATTTATGCGCATTATATTTGTAGGTTTAAACTCAGTCATCAAATGTGCAGGGTGTTCTAGATAATAGCAAATTTCATTAAAGATTTCAAAAGACTTTGATCCATCTCGTCGTAGCGTTTTTCCCTGCTTCAATTGCGTAGTTTGAGTTTCCGAGACAACTATTCAATTCTAAATTTTTTATAAAGGAGGAAGCTTGATTTATAGAATTTCGTGCAATTCTTGATTAACATAAATGTTGAAGAATTGCATTTTCAATAAAATAAAGATGATAAAAATAATTATTCCTTCACGTCGCCGGTCCCAAAATATCCGAATTCTATAATTCTGATTTAAAAAAATATTTCTTAAAGCAAAATTTTAATATCTTCTTATTCTGATCAATGTAGTTTTAACCATACTGATGAAAATGTTATAACTTCCATAAGCATTAAATTCTGGAAAAGGGTCTTATTTTAAAATAATAATATAGTACAGTTTTCTTTTATAGCGTAGTGAAAAATTTCGAACTTACACAAAGAAAAAAGAATGAGAGGGAATTCATTTTCAAAAATTTTAATGAGAGATTATTTTCTAAAATGCTGAAAGAAAGATTAAAAAAAATGATTTATCAACAGTAAAAAGAGAATAAATTTCAAACTATTAGGCTGAGTACGATTTTATTAATCATTAGACAGAATTCTGCAATTCGAAACACCATTTTCCCACCTATTGAGGAATTACATGGGGGTGATACATATAATTTCTCTCAAAAGTTGTTTTTCCACGTATTTGGTGCACAAATATTTATACAGACGTGCTATGCTGTTTTATCCTTTTTTTAGTATCCTTGACAGAAGGTTTGAAAATTGATATAAAGTACATCTTTAAATGTATTTAAACCTATAATGACCGTAATAATTCCATTAATATAGTTAGAAAAAGGAGTATATGATCATGAATATAAGGCTTGACAATAAAGCCTTATTTATTGTATAGGAAAAATTCATAATCATATTAAAGCAACATTGTACCAAGTGAGTGATAATTATCCATGCCCATGACTATTGGGTGTTTTCATCGTTCTGTGTTTTAGTATCTAGTTGACAGTCAGCTATTACATGCAGGGTTGGCACGGAGGCCTTTTGCCTCTCGGTGCAAACTTCTAAATTCTGAAACTTTTCCCACCTTTAAATTCTGCCGCCCGGTGGTTGCACCGGGTTTGGAGCCGACCCTGATTATTTCGTGTAGCTCGTGTTCTACGAAACTCCATTTGGCAATGAATGCTTTCGCTGTGAGGACTGTACTTTGATTTCCGGGTCATATCCGCACACTCAGTTTTCATCTCCAGTGCTCATACTCTTGAGGAATATCTCTATCAACAATCTTCAGCATATCATATGCAACCTCAAAATGTATTTGTTCTTATTGCTTCTAAAACAATGAAAATGCAAAATTTTCAGCTATTTCATATACAATGAAATCTGAAAACTGTAGGCACAGCAGTTTTGTAGTTAAAGAATCCGCCTGATCAAAGCAATGGCCTCCTAGAACTCTGGTAGCTCTCTTTTCAAAACCCGCAAATATTGAAAAACAATTAGCTGTACGAAGTTTTATTTCTTTAATTCTTGTGACTTCTCGAAATGCATGTTGAATTTTTCAAATCGTTTAGGCCTGTGCATTGCCTTTTGGAAATTTCTGGCTAGGTGGAAAACCCTATGAACATTCAAGATTTATAGAAGGTTCTCTTCTACAGATCTTGAAGATTACCACACTTGCTTTCTTTCAGGCTGTGAAGTATATGCAATGCTCTCGCCAACGAATGGACATCCTCATGAAGAATGTCCCGAACAATAGAACTACTGTTATATTGTTGTCCAATGATAGATTTGGCATTGTATAATCGTTGCTTTTTCGGAAAATTAAGGTCGTTACTTTTCACAGAAGCTTTGTTTACTATATAAAAAGAATCTTCTTACTATAAAAACTGAAGCTTGCAAAAGAGCTTGAGAATTTTTTTCCCTTTATATCTTTATTATGTAAATTTATTGCTGTTTATTTAAATAGATACACAATTTTGTGATGTGTACTTTCGACCTAAAGAACTGCATTCTTCTCAATTATTGATTTTTAATGTAGTGTAGAAAATAATGTTTTCCTTAACTATTATAACAATGTTAATTATAATTTACTTCATTGATTCATTAACTAATGCATATGAAAAATAAGATTGTTTTCTAAAATTATCAGTAATTTAGAAATTAATTTTACGGCACTGCTATAAATTATGTTTGGTACTTTAAGCGCATAACATTCTTATCCTCTTTTCTCCATCTAGATCAATCGATTTAATAAATGAGTAAAGTTATTATTATATTACGTAAGAAAACTGTGTTAGAAAAATAAGTTATGAGTAGGACGGAGAAAAAGCTCGAGAAGTGGGTGTATGCCAAAGAAAACTTCAATAAATGTGGGCGGTCGAGCAAAACCTTTGAAAGAAAACGTAGTAAGTGCTCAGCCCAACTTGTAACAGCTGAGAGCATGCTTATAAGCCTAAAATAAAATATGATAACCGTGACAACCGCGCAACGTTGAGGGTCAAGCTCAAGGAGGTTAGAATAGAAGGATGGAGGGTTCGCAGTTTCCTCCACTATCGGGGAATGAAACTCCGCCGAACAAGCGGCGTCCATGTTTGTGACTTCAAAACATTGCATTACGGCAGTGACATGTACGTGTTTCTAAGCTGTTCCGTGCATTTATTTTCCAGTAAAAATATGTTAAATTTATAATGAAATCCCTCGCTATTGTTGAATTTTTGTTTAAAGTAATAAAGATGATATCCATAATTTACTATGTACAGCAAATTATTAAGAAATAGTTCGAAATCTAAATGCACGCGCATAACATTAAAGCCTTTAAAAAATGATTTTTCTGCATATTTCACGAATTTTCTTAGGTTAGAAAATAAATCTTAATAAAATAAAACAGATTTATGTGAATTCATTGATTTCAGTTTATGCGCATTTCATATTTATTAATCTCAAAGAAACTGCCTTTAATTAAGTTGAATTACAGAAATACACCTATATAAGTTTTTGGATACATCTTTCCCCATGTTCAATTGTGTAAATATTTTACTTAATTTTATCACTATACTGCCTAGAAATTTGTAAGTTTTATGCAAAAAATTTTTAACAACAGAACAGTTTATCTTAACTTAAAAAAAATGAATAATAATTAATATATAAAGAAAAGCATTGCTTTATTTAACACCTTTACAATTAATAAAAATAGTAACAATTGATTTCTTACTTTTCATGAAAGTTATAAAACGAATTAACTAAAACGTTCAAATTATACAATTTAAATCCTACCATATAGCATTGTATCTTAAGGAACGAAGATACCAGCTATAAACAGAAACATTAAAATGTATTTAATATATTTTGATTATAGTTATATTAAATAACCTATTTTGATTATTTAAGTCCCTTTTTTTTTCACATCTGGAAAGAAAACCACATGACATTGTGATATTTTTTGACATAGTTGTCATATTACATAAAAAAAGAAAATTAATAGTTACGTGTGAAAAATAATGCCCGGAATTTTTTTCGAGAATCTATTTGTGCATTAATATGCAATACAAGCTGACATGCTTCAAAAAGAAAAGAAAAAAATGTTGCAATGACAGACTTCCTTGCACAAGTCACGGTGATAACAGGAAGATGGCCGCCAAGCTTCACCGTTTGAGTTGAACCTTCCCTCCTTCTATTCTAACCTCCTTGGTCAAGCTTTCCTTTTTAAGGAAATTTTCTACTTCTTTTCTTTTTCTTTTAATAAGCCGGCCTTTTATCCCCTCCCTCTATTACTCTTGGACCATTTATTTTAATTTTTATTTTGCCCATTATTTCTTCCTGGCCTTTTGAACTCGTTTAAAAATGTAGGAAGTTCCTTTTTACTTTCCTCTGAAATACGAATACTCCCCTTTTTATATAACTTTCCATCGCACCTAAACTTGATTTTTCACCCATCGGTCAGAAAGACTTAGGGGCTGCAAAACAAGACGTCTGTCTACTTTGTCTATTGAACTTTGTTTACTTTGTCTAAGAATTGTTTGTGTAACTTTTTTTTATTAAACAATGATGTAAATTAAAATATATTAATTTGCTGAGTCGTTATTACTCAGTAACATTAATTGTGTTTGTACAAACTGTCAACGAGCAGCTGTTTTGATTTATAAGCGTATGTGATTGAAGAGTGACCTTGTTATATTATTTTTGCCAAACGAAATGTAGTGCTGATTTGTTTTTGTTTTGTTTTTTCCCTTATAAACTATTTTAGTAGCTTTTGCTTTATTATGATTCTGAAGATGAAAAGCAGTTTTACCTGTGTGGTTGCAGGAGTTTTCTTAAAACTATGTATTTCCCTTTCAGGTATTTTTAAATCTTTTAATACTCTTATTATTTTAGTTTCAGAATTGTTAAATGATAATCTTTGTTTGTTATTATCTTTCTTTCCATTTCAATGATTTGAAATTTTAGTACTGTATTTATATCATTGAAGTACTATTTTGTAATTTATCATCAGATCCATTTATTTATGTCATTTTATTCTATATTTGGTATTTTTTTCCCGGCTACATTGCAAAAGTAGGCCTTTTTTGTTATGTATTAATTAGCTAAGAAACTTTTGCATTGTAATGTGAAATATAAAGAAGTAATGGAAAGTACACTGTGATTTGACCATGTTGAATTATTCGAATGATATAAATAAAGACCAGGTAAAAGTTTACGGTGCCCCTTGTTTATTGGCGATTTTTTTTTTCGGAACCAGAAAGGCACAAATTCAAGATGGACGCTACACAAAACCAAAATAAGAAGTCAAACAATTGCACAAACTCTGTGTCCATGTACACATCGATCTTTTTTCACTTAAAAAAACATCCCAGAATTGCACAAACTAGGCATTGCGCACTGCCTTAAATTTGTCCATGTACACATAATATCTATTTTCATTAAAAAAAAAAAAAATCAGGAACCTAAAACAAAGTTAAAACTATCATGGTAACCAGAAATGAGGTTTCATCGCCAAAATTTTTTAAAAAATTGTCACTAATCAAAGGGGCACCCAATTCTACACTAAAGCCTAAAGGGGCTGTAACATCATTTCTGTAACCTGTACAGAGATTTCACTAAGCTTTGAGAAGCAAATATTTAATATTATTCTTATTTCATTTAGGATTTAGTGTATCACATGGAAAAGAGATAATAAGTTTCTCTTAGAAAATGGGTATTGTAATGTTATTTCCTTTTGTTAATCTGAGAGTAATATTTAGATCTAATATTGCATATTAGTTTATTTCAAATGAAAAATAGTGTCTGGACTTTCTTGTCATTTAAGTTGATATACATTGTATGATAAAGAAAGACTGTGTCTGAACTGCATTGGCTGTGCAGCCTTTGCTTCTGCCAAGAAGAAAAAAGGTGTCCAAACACAAGTGTGATTTGTTGGATCATGTATTCCTTTTGTTACTGTTTACTGAATTACCATGATTTGTTGGATCATGTGTTCCTTTTGGTACTGCTTACTGAATGCATTTACTTATGGTATAAGGAATTACCAAATATTCAGTTTCAGTACCAAATATTCAGATCAAAGATTGTTTCAAATAAATCGTAATGTAAGAGTTGATTGTAATTATTACATGTAGGTAGAACAGTACCTATCCTAGAACATCAGCCACCCACATATGCAAATTAAAATTGGCTGTCCTTTTTTACAGAAATGTAATATGTTTGATAATCATTTTGCCACCCATGTGCCATGCACCATCTTGTCCCCCACTAGAATCATACCTGAAGAAGAATATACCAGTTCCTTGTTATCATGCCCTAATGTTAAAATTAATGGATGCAGCAAAACTGTAGAGACTCGTTTCACAATTTTTTTTAAAAAGTTTTTTGGAGTATTTTGTCATGAAGTTAGGGAATGAATTGAATTAATGTTCTGGGGTTATTTTGTTTTGTCTTGTATCGAGCCAAAAGTGTGGGGAAAAGAAATTAGCCAAAACACCCCATTATGGTGCTGAAAATGCATGATATAATTTTAATGGAAAAATGTCTCGGGAATAACATGTTTTGAAAGAGATAAATATCAAAATTATATTGAAAGGGTTAAAGTATATCCTAACTTAATACCTTAGCCAATTGGTACTTTGTATTTGCATCCCTACCGAAAATTTCATACTCGGTGACTTTGGAGAGAAACATATTTGAGGTATATTTATACAGTACAAAGTCTTTAATCAGGACTCGTTGGGACTTCGGCAATTCCGGATTAGGGGTTTTTCCGAATTATAGATCATCAATTTAAATCTGGTAAGATGGCATGCAGAAATTATAAAATTAAAAATATGAAACCGTAATTTATGAAATAAAGAACAATTATGATCTAAAGGGTACCAAAATTTACCCCTAAAAAGCTTAATATTTATTTGTTTACTTTATTAAACATTTCTTTCAATGTAAGTTGCTTAAATTGCTTCATTTTTCATGCTAACACTTTCTTTTTAATTCTATAAACAGATATAATTTCTTGTTCAGTTGCACTGTTCAAGTCCTGTAACTGCTGTGTTGAGAATACCGACTAACCTGTCAATCGTTTTTTTTTTTTTGTTTTTTTTTTTGTTTTTAATAACCTCTCTGTCACTTTCTTCACTATCGGAAGTGGTACATCGAAACATGCTTTCGCCTTATAGATCTTTTGGCAGCTCCAGAATCGGAACCTCTTTTTTGACATAATCGAAAGTTCAAGCTTACTTTTTATAAAATTGCTCTAACAGTCTGCAAAAAGTAATAAGCCGGATCCAGTTAGAAAATTAAGGAACAACATAATCTGCAACATTAACTGAAATAGATAATTAGATAATTTTAGCCTAGCTTATACCATCCGTTATACATTAAACGTGCATGCGTAAACGTATTATGCGCTTGCGTAAACGCATATGTGCATGCGTTAACGCATTATGCATTGACACATGCAAAGAAAGTTTGTAGCTTTGAGGTCTGGATTATGGACGTCTGTATTAAAGACTTTGTACTGTATATATTTTTAATGATGTATCTTGTGCTGCCTTTTTTTTTTTTTTTTTTTTTTTTTTTATATTCTTTTTTCCATACAAGACATGCATCTTTCTTTTTTTAAGGGGGAGGGGGTTATTTTTCTTTCCATTTACATAGTAATTTGTTTTTGCTAAAAAAAAAAAAGAAAGAAAGAAAGAATTGCACAAACTTGCCGTTGCACATTGAAAAGTGAGAAGGAACACATGAAGCCTTAAAAGGAAGCCACATTAGGCTCTATTCATGCAGAAAGCTAAATCTGGTATTTCCGGAAGGCAACAAAACCGGTACTATGCTGTCTTATGCTATGCTAAATTGCTAAAATTCTCATAGGAGAGATTATAATCAGCAGTCACGTTGGCAAAAATGCCCACAGAATGGGAATCCATCTTGGGAAGATGTTACCCTCATACTTGAAATGCCATATAAATAACATTTTGTGACATCATGGGCTGTTATGTAAAAATACTCTGTAGCAACATGATGCCTTATCAATATTTTTTGGCCTTTTGGTGACAATGTGGATAATCAGAAAGTACCACCAAATTTCAGAGCGTTTGATAAGGTTGATTTTTCTATTACCAAACATGTCAGCATCATTTTTATCATCAGTACTTTGAAAACCTGCCTAGAGCACATATTTTCAGTCCTGCAACATGTTTTCACCTGTGCAAGTGGTAACTAGTATTCACCCTTTTTCCTAAATGTTCTTACTAAGTTTCTGTTGATGAATTATTGCTTGGCTTTAGTCTGCAAGAGAATATACTGATCAGCAATATTTCTTGCATGTCTGGGAACATCATACCCCACTTTGTTTTCTTCTGAAGTTATTCATAGCTATGTTTCTTGCTGCAAGAGCAGTATCTTTACCTCGATAAAGTTTCAAGTCTTCCTGATTATGTATACTTAAGTAAGGCGATCTGTTTGAAGTCGTATCATGCAACAATCTGTTATGTTATCTGTATTATGCAATAGTTAAGCCAATAAAGTTATTTTTATGCATTGATGTGGATTATGTTGAAATATTGCATGTCTTAACTTTTTATATATCCATTCTAGTTCTTTATTGTCACTTAATTAAAAAATTGAATTTTTTTTTTCAGGTTTTTGTTTAGTAGAAGCAACTGTAAGGAATGAAAGAGAAAATTTACATTTTTCAGATAATCTTTCAAGTGAACAAATTTTTTTAAAAAATGAAATAAATCCAAAGTTTGCTGATGAACATCATTATTATTTGCCTCAACAAACTGTATTTGGATCAAGTGTTTTGTCGACCAGTGATGGTGTTTTTGTTACCTCACCTCCTCATTTATTAATTAATCCTGCTCCAATACAATCAGAGCCTGAACAGAGTACTAGTGCTATATATCAAAGTAAGATTTATTAAGATATTTGTGTTATTTACTGATATATAAATGTTTAAGTGTGCTACATTTCTCTAGTAGTAATACAATTTCTCTAGTTTCTGCAGTGAAAAGAAATTAAATTAATTGCTGGCAAAGTATTTTTATTAATTCCTAAGAATTAAAAGTTTTAAATATATTAAAAGTCTGAAATGATTTGATAGATTTGATTGATATGCTAATAATTTGATAGAAAATCTATTGCTGTCCATGAACTAATAATTATCATCTATTATTATAGTGTGCACATATGTGACATTTTAAAGATTGTATTCTATTGTTCCATAAATTAAAAAAACTATTTTTATGAACTTTCTTTTGCTAACCCAGGCTCCCTTTATTATTTTCTTCATATTCATCTTGGTAATGTTCTGTTTTATAAAGAATTACAGTGCTTTGAATAATGTTTTTTGAGTGGGTGTAGCAGTATTATCATCGGCACATATCCATTTTTCTGTTTTTTGTATTGTATCTGGTTGTAATGAAAGTTTTCCACCAAAAAATGTTCTTAATAATGTTAGAAAAACAAAACATGAAAGCAATACCTTTAGTGATAGTAATCATTAGAGATAATAGTACCAAGATTTATGAACTGAGAAACAGCCTCGAAAGTATAAAAATTTATTTGCAGTGTAAGAGGATTATGTACTTTACTAGTTACTGTGGTATATTTTGTTTTACACTCCTTAATGATTAGTCCAGCGCCTCTTGCTGCAGACTTTAGAAAAATATAAATCTCCACAACCGTCTGTTTGCTTCTGTCGATAATGTTGATGTCATCAGCATATGCTATTAAATGTATAGATCTCTGACATATGGTGCCTCTAGTTATAATTCCAGAATCTTAGTCTGGAGAAAAATTGCTTTTATGATACATCTGCTTTTCTTTGAGTATTATTCAGAGTTGCCACGTTACCTGGAAAATCTGAAAAACCGGGAAAAGTCAAGGAATTCGAAAATTGACTTAAAAAGTTGGAATTTAAATATTTTAGTCAAAATCTGGAAAAGTTAGGGAGTTTCATATGGCGATCCCAACAAAAAAAGGGATTTTTATGCCAATGATGGTATCAATTCTGTTTCTTGGTGAGTTATGTATTGCGTGAGCGTGATTCGGACAGCTGGCATAGAGACAATTTTTGCAGTTCTAATCAGATTGTCTTTTAGAATGGCGAAGCAAATTTCCAGCAATTTTGGCTTTCAATAACCTTGAAAATCGAGAGATTCGCATGTGCAGTGCATGTTGAACGAGAAAATATGTTCCCATTCTCGTCTAAACAAAATTGGTTTAATCCTAGTATAGGATACACACGGGATTTGGTGACATGATGATGAGGAGTAAACGAGTCATTTTGGTATTGGCAATAATTTTCAAAATCGTGCCAAGGCTGTACTGTATACTAGGATTTTACCAGAAAATCTTCTAAACCTTTTTTTTCTTCTTTTTACTAAATACCTTATTTGTTATTTTGCAGTAAGATAAAAAAAATAGCAATCGGTCATCTAGGCTAACCATTTAATCTAATTATATTCACCAAAATATCATTGATTATTATAATTCAGTTTTAATCTTTAAGTAATTTATTTTAATGTTATTCATATCATTTAATGCAGCTTCTTCTTTCTAAATTTATTTATTATTAGTTAATAATACTTTCACAAGACATTTTTTAATCCAGATTGGGCAAATTCTATTCTTCTGTCTTCAGTGGAGAAAACAACTATTAAGTAATTAATTAGTAAATATTTGGGCATTATTTATATATATTATAAGTCATATGTGATTGACAAATTTTTGTGGTTTCAAGTGGTCCCATAATTAATTTACCTTTCAGAACAGCCAACATGCGCTACGCAGATAGATTGGAATTTTCTTAAAACACACCTGGAAAAGTCAGGGAATTTCATTCTTTGGTTTGAGTAGCAGTCCTGATTATTTAATCTAGAGTTCTGGATATTAAATTATTCTGGATATTGGGCATCCAGATATCAGACTTTGTACTGTTCTAGGTTTTGTAGTGTACACTTATTATGAACAACAATAAGTTACATAGCAAACTCTGCTATTCTTTCATCATCTCTCCCAATCTCCCAGTAGATTAAATGTATTTCCTGGTTTCCAATTTTTAATAAAGAAAATTTTAGGGATACTGTTGGGAAAATACATCCCAGCAATAAATGAAATTTATTGAATCAATGAAATTTAAAGTGTGCAAATTCTATATCTATGTTTCAGCATGATGCAGAATTTCAGCATAATTTTTCTTATTAAATTTTGATAAGAATTGTCTTAATCTATTGCGGACATTGTAGAACTTTTTATGAAGGTTTAATTGATGTTTGATCAGTTAATATTTGTATTTAATGTTGTTTATCTACATAATTATGTGTACATTAATAATTTATTTTATTTTTGTTATCTTTAAAAATGCTTTGACAAATAAAAACTTTTCTTCCCTGCTCAGAATTTTATCAGTATAAAAATGAAAGAAAATTATTAAATGAAATTAGCCATGGAACATAAAATGTAGAATTTCTGATCAAGTATTAATATATTTATAGCAAAATCACTTTATAAATAGTTCAGCAATCTGAATTATGTATTAGTGAATTTCAGCGTGGAGGTCTTTTAAAATTCTATTGATGTGTAGCATGAATACATGCACAAGAACCTACCACTTTTTCACATTTCAAGCTTAACAGATATATTAAAAGAAGATTTTCAATTGTACTTTTATTGCATCATATGCAAGGGCAAGTAATATCTACATGTTGTTTACCTGAGTAAATTTTAGCAACAGTATGCTGTATTGAATAAAAACAAATTAGCAGAAAAAGTGAATATATTTTGCTAGAAAATTTTTTGTCTAATCATTCATATATGTAAAACTCTAATGGTTGTTACTTATTTAAACATCATTTCAGGACAGGTATATCTTTTATGTAGTATCATTCCTACGTGAAAGTATATTTTTTCAGTAAGACAATGAATCATGTCACTGTAGCTGAAATATTCAAGAACTTTGCACTGAACGTGCAGAAAAATTCCTGGGCATTGCTTGGTCTTCTAATTTCACAGATCTCAATATAGTTTATTTTTATGTTTTTATACATTTTGATATCAATGCCTAATACTTTTTATGCAACCAATAATATTAAATTTGAAGAAAATTATATTATTATTAAATAAATATTTTTTAAAGCAAATATATTGTAAGAAATACTTGAATGAATATTTTTTTTTAAATAAATGCATTTTATATAACGTACTGCCTCTACTTTAGATTTGCCTGCAGATGATGATTGTGTTACTTCCAGTTTAAGTCATTGCATTCTTGAAACACCATCTTTTACAATTGAATCTGAATTATTAACTTCAGAAAATTGTATTAAAGATGTAAGTATGTTTGCAAAATGTTTATTTTTCCTTTTTATAAGGATATTTTAAAGATTTATCTTCAGTTATTATTTTAAAAAACTTTTTATAGCAACCATAGAGAGAGAAGAGCATAGGCACATTTCAGGCTTTAGCAAGTGTAATTTGTGGCCAAATATTGTAAACAGCCATTAAAAAAAACTGATTAAACAGTGACAAGTGCAAGTTAGCTATTCATTCAGTTACTATGCAATGCTTATTTGTATTTGTTATTTTATTTAACGTAATTTTGTTACAATTTTATTTGAACAATATATACATAAAAATATTTAAAATTTATTTTTAACTGACACTTTCTTTTGCCCATAATTCAGAAATTGCTGCTATTAATAAATCAAATCATGGCTGACATAATTCCTGAACATGAATTCTGCTAGTTATGGCTTTAAGTCGATGGTTCTCAAAGGGTGTGCTAGGGTGCATTGGTGAGTCCTAGATTTCTGGGTGCATCCTGTGGTAATCTAGAGAAATATGTATTCAGATATAAAAATAAATATGGTTGCTCAAATGTACCATTTCACTCTGGTCTTTTTCATCAACATATTATTATGTTAATTAACAGTGGTTTTTCTTGCAAAGAGCAGCTTATTAAGTTTGTGCCTCTTTTCGTAAACTTCAGACTGTCTGTGATGTTGAATCGGCAGGTACGAGAACAGTAGAATTTAAAGACACAAATATTTATTCAATGGCAATAAGGAACTTTGACATAAAATCACTTACATTGGACTATTTGCAGAAGGAATATCATAAATGTTTTCTCAGTATCTCATTAAATTCATAATAATACCTCATTTACATAAGTCATACTCAAAGATAGTTTTAATAATACATGATCATATTAGTATTAATAGAAGAACTTCTTGGATTGAAACATTTCTTCTTTCACTGCCAGTATGCACTCACAAACTCAGGAAAATGAATAAATCAGCATTTCATCAGTTAAAGAGAATGGCATCTAGTGCATTTTTCTGTCATAGTGCTAGCGCAGCCATTTAGCGGCACACAACGAGGCTGTAAATAGCCTCTGCAAAAACGTAACAAATGTAATTTGAATGACTCTATGGGTTTTGCTCAAACAGTGATTTAGTTCAGTACAGCCAACAGCCAACACCACAGTGCTGTAGTCACTTTTTACAGTGTAAAAAAGGCTTGAGTTGACCATCAGTATATATGTGAGGCATTGGTAGTAGATGTGGTATTCTTGTTGTGTATATTACTTATTTGTCAAAGTCTTAGGAGTGGATGTTATGTGCATGTAATTTATTTTCAGTTAAACACAGCTAAATAAAATGGATGGATTTCTCAAAAAGAAGCGTGTTATTGAAGAATCAGATTCTAGAAGTGATCAAAAGTTAAGTGCAAGTGAGATAGTAAAATCACAACGTACTTGCCTGGATGTGAATATCATTCTTTGCTGTTATCTTTATATGAATGTAAAATGCCAACTGAATAATTACTTCCTGATACATTGAGTAAATAATTTAAAACAATGCATTCTAATTTAAATCTAAGTTTTTCAAAAGATTGTCTGAATAGTGAACAAAAAAGCAGAAAAATTCTTTAAAAAGTATAATGACTGTTTTTGGTAAGGGTCAAATCGCAAGTCTGAGAACTGATAGCAAAAAACATGAAAGCCCATACTTTAGGCATCACTTATTTTGTCTGCATGCAAAAGCCCTCAGGGGGCTCACTTTTGTGAGTACGGGTGTGGCAATCCCTAGGTGCCCTAGCCCTTCAGGGGATCATCTTCTTGGTGAGATGGGTGTCACGATCCTGGAGCCCCAGTGATCTTTTCTCTTTTCCGTCTCCTCTCCTCTTGGCTGGAACTTTTTCCCTTCCCTTCTCCCTTGTGGTTTCTCTCTACAGAGTTTGGGGCTCGTCACGAGAGGCTGGAACAGACCTTGTTTCTAGTTTTCGAGTGGCGAGAAAACTGCCCACGTGTTTGCCGTGCGTGGAGACCCGTGTCGCTGGAAAGGAGGGTCCTGGTAGTTGAGGGGCGAGGTACTGTCCCCAACACACTGCTTTGGCCTCTGCTTCAGTTAAACGGGAGGCACCTTAGTCGTCCTCACGGGTGTCAATCGGCTGGTCACTAGTCCTTGTGTCAGTGGCTTGGGGTCAAGCTCTCGGGAGTACCTGCTTTCGGGAAAGCCGACTGTGGGGCTTCAGTTTGCGTATAGGTCCGGCTAGCCCTAACACAGGAATCTGTGTTCCCTTGTAGGGCTCCGTGGTGGGCGGGGCCGTCGGACCCGAATTTTTTTCTCTTTCAAATATGGCTTCTTTATTCATTCTAAAAAAACCCGAGTCAAATGAAACGAACAAAGAAATTGAAATTGTTGACAAATCTATTAACAAAAGATCCGTACAGATGCAAATGACAAAGATACTGAAATTATTGACAAATCCAGTACCAAGAAGATCCGAACCAATGCAAATGCCAAAGAATCTACTGATTGTCCACGCTTCCTTGTTATCTCTAGTCCTTCTGGTGAACTGCAAAAGATGTCTCCTTTTCTCGTAAACAAATATATACATTCATGTATAGGTGAGCCAAGGAACATAAAGCGTCTCCGGTCAGGAGACCTGCTTATTGATACCATGTCGGCCACCCAGTCTGCTTCTCTTTCCGGACAAACCAAATTTGGAGAAATATCTATAACTGTGTCAGCGCACAAAACACTTAATTTTTGTAGATGTGTGATCTCGGAGATCGACCTTCTGTGTGTTTCAGAAGAAGAGTTCGTCTCTGAGTTAGCTGGCCAAAATGTCTGTGGTGCTAAGGCGGATCAAGATGCGAAAGGAAGGTAAGTTGATTGATACAAAACACGTGATCCTTACCTTCAACACGCCTGATCTGCCTAAGAATATTACGGCCGGATATCTAAATCTTCCTGTAAGACCTTATATTCCTAACCCTATGCGATGTTTCCAGTGCCAGCGTTTCGGCCATTCTAAGATGACTTGTCGTGGCAGCCTCACATGCGCCCGATGCTCACAGATTGGCCACGATTCCGAAAATTGTACCGCTGCACCTTCGTGTATAAATTGCAAGGGTCAGCACCCAGCATTTTCACGCCTGTGCCCAAAATGGAAATCCGAAAAAGAAGTACAGACTCTTAAAGTTACCAGGAACATCTCGTATGCTGAAGCCAGAAGACTAGTTCAAAGCACACAGCTACAATCAAACAAATCTTATGCCAGTGCAGTTAAAACAACACGTAGCATTGCCACCCAAATATCAATAGGCACGCAGACTAAACCAAATAAAACCCAACCGACTACATCCACCAAGAAAACAGAAAAGTCAACTCATTTAATACAAAATAAAGAAACAGTCATTCAAAGTAAACCCAAAACTGCCACTAAAAAAGTATCAAATAAAAATAGAAGTTCCAGCAATAGCTCTTTTGACGAAATGATTTCTGAATCTGCGGATTCAGACACTATGGAAGTAGAGGAGGGTCTAGAATTTCCCAGGCATCTACTTCCACGAAAAACCAAACAAGAGCACAGAAAGAACAAAAACCAGACATAATGGCCACCCTCGTCTCATGGAACTGTCGCGGTTTCCACCGAAATTTGCTCGACATCAAAGCCATAATTAATGCTTATCATCCTGTATGCTTCGCAAGTACAGGAAACAAATCTAAAACCAGAACAACAGGCAAAACTTCGGAGGTTTTTTCCTTCGTCAGGAAAGATAACCTTGCAGGTGAGCGTGCCAGTGGAGGTGTAGGTCTCCTCACCTCACTGGATTATCCCTCAAATGTGCTTTCTTTGACGACATCCCTCCAAAGTTGTCGCTACTCAAACAAATTTTGATATTGTTGTTACAGTTGTTTCTCTGTATTTGCCTCCAAATGAGCATATTGATCAGCAAGATTTAAATGGTCTTTTAGAGCAGCTGCCTGAGCCTTTCATCATAATAGGAGATTTTAACGGCCATAGTCCGCTCTGGGGTAGTAAAGATACAAATTGCCGAGGAAGACAAATTGAGCAGATGATCGAAGATCATAGCCTTTGTCTCCTGAATAATGGGCAAGGTACTTACTTCCATGAGCCTTCAAGGACATTCCACGCTCTCGACCTTGCCATCTGTTCACCGTCTCTGTTGCCATTTTGCACTTTTAGTGTCGGAAATGACCTGTACAACAGCGATCATTATCCCATTTTTGTATCTCTTGCACGAAGAGTAGCAAACCCCATGTCGAGACTCCCTCGGTTTATACTAGACAGGGCAGACTGGGAACTCTTCTCTTCCTCCGCAGAGCTCACAGAGGAAATGGTAGAAGATGTGCATATCGATGACGCTGTGGAAGCTGTTACTAATACTATTATTCAGGCAGCTATGCTTTCGATTCCTAGAACATCAGGAAAAATACTAAAATATTCGAAACCGTGGTGGAATCGCGACTGTCATGAAGCACTGAAAAAAACAGAAAAAAAGCATGGGGTATTTTTCGTAGATATCCGACTCTGCGAAACCTCATAGCCTTTAAAAGAGCCAAAGCAAATGCACGAAAAGTAAGAAGGCAGAGCCAGAGGGATTCCTGGATTTCATATGTGTCGTCAGTAACATCCTCCACGCCTAGTAAGCGGGTTTGGGAAAGAGTTCGAAAAGCATGCGGCATATATAAAGACCACTCACTTTCCTTTTTGGAAAAAGATGGCCGAGTGATTAGCTCCATAGAAGAAATTGCAAATACTACTGGTGAGACATTTGCTGCCGTTTCTTCCAGCAGAAACTAAACACGTGCATTTTTCTCTATGAAGCAGCACTCTGAAATAAATCCCATCGCATTCAACTCTTCCAAATCTGAGCCTTACAATAGAGCATTTACTATGGTGGAATTAAAGAGAGCTTTATTGCAGACACATAGGTCTTCTCCGGGTCTTGATGGCGTGAATTACGAAATGCTAAAGCATCTGTCCTATAAGTCACTGAATGCCCTTCTCACTCTTTA